CAATCAGATTGCACTTCAAGGGGTCCCGCTCCTCCTGCACCATCCACGCCGGCACGCAAGATGGCGACAAGGGCGTCTTGTTGTCCTTGCCATCCACGAAGAACTTCAAGCCCTTGAACTCGGCCACCTGCACGGAGCCCGCTGTCGGAGTGACCGAAACACGACCGTACAGGTTCAAGCGCAGCTGCTGGAGCCTCTTGCCGTCGTACCACAGGCGCGACCCCTTGGCGTCGGGCTTGGGCTTGCAGTGCGTCAGCCCTTGGTCAGCCCACGTCGATCCGCCCGGCATGCAAGACGTGGCCAAGAACGTCTCAATTGCTAAGACCAGGGCGCGGGTGCGCCAGGGGCCCAGCGCGGGGTGGCCCGCGACCTCCATCTCCTGGAGGATGGAAAAGCAGCCGTCGAGCGGGTTCTCCTCCTATGTGGGCGCCCGAAATGGGGGCGGAAAGAATGGGTACGATGCCCAACAACAAATGTTGTCCCGAACCAACAGCGGCCGCTGTTGGGCGGGCGGCCCCCTGTCTCGAATGGGCGCAGGCCGCGGCGGCGCGGACAGCGAGTCATGTTCAAAATGAACAGGATCCGCTGTTGGGCAGTGTACCCATTCTTTCCGTGCCCGTCTCGGGCGTCCAGATCCTTGGACTCCTTGGCAGCGGGTGTCTTGGGCGAGTCCTGCTGCTGCTGCGACTCCTGCGACTCCTCCTTCACCGCCGCCGCCTGCGGCGGCGGTGACTGCGACTGTGACTCCGCGGAGCACGGCGGCGGGGCGCCGCCGACGCCGGCCTTGCTGCTCGTCGGGGTGGCCCCTGCTGGGGTGGCCGGGAAGAGGCGCTCGCCGCGCATCTGGCGCTCCAAGCAGGAAGCGATCAAGTCGGCCATCCCGCCTGGGGTCTGGGACCGCATAACCTGCACCAACAAGGAGCACCACTCCTCGTTAGACGGGCCGGCGATCAAGATGCGCGATAGATTATGCACGTGGCCGCTCGTGCCGCTCGCGTCCGTGTGCTTGAGCGCCGCCGACGCCTTCTCGGAGAACAGGTTGTTGGCCGCGTCCTGCTCGTCCTCGACGAAGTCGTCTTTGATCGACTCCATAGCGCTGATCATGTACATGATGGGGAGGCGGGTCATGACCAAGCACTCGCCCTGGTTCTGGAAGATGCTCTTCACGGTCTCGACCGTCTGCCCAACGTGAGACGGAGAAGTGCAATGCGTGAAGTAATCCGCCGCCTACTGGGCGCGAGTGGTTTGCAGCGCCAGGGAGCGCCCTCTTCCGCCTTTCTCTCATTCGGGGACACTTGCCCCTCCCACCCCCCCGACCGCCGACCTGGAGGGCGGGGTGGCGGCCCCAGGGTGGCCCTCAGGGGCCCTCAGGGTGGCGCCCAAGACTGCCCGCCGAGCCGATCTCGCCCCCGCGCTGGGTCGTTGCTGGATGGGCTGGCGGGGTCACAGGCAACGGTTACAGGGTTGCGCGAAGCGTCGAGAATATGCGCCAAGCCCCCGAGACGGCCCAAGGGGCCCAAGGGCCCAAGAGTGCCCCGAGTCGCCCCAAATATCGGCCGAAGACTCGAAGACGCCTAAAATAGCCCCAAGACCGTCCAAGAAGCCTTCAAGACGTCCCAGTAAATACACACAGATAACAGGATTCCCTCCTCCTCCTCCTCCTCCTCCTCCTCCTCCTCCTCCTCCTCCTCTTCCTCCGTTTCCTCCCCCCACTCCTAGCCCTTTCGATCAGGGTCGGCGGCGCCGGCCGTCAGGCCTCTCCAATACGCGCCAAGCATCGCCGCTAACTCGACCCACTCCGTAGACACCAGGTCCATCAGCAAGGACCAGGCCTTCTCGATGATTAGCTCCAGATTGTAGCCCATCGCCGCGTGCATTGCCTCGTCACTCATGTTGCTATCCCTCTCTGTCACCTCGGCCCGGCGCGCGTGCGCCAGCTCCCTGACCTCGCAGGCGGGACGGGGCGGCCCCCTCCCCCGCCTCCTCCTCTTCTCCTCCCCCCCCTCCTGCCTCGAGAAACCTCGAGGCCAACTGCCAGCTGCCAACTGTTACCCGCGAACGGGGATCCCCCTGAGCGGTGCGTAGGGCAATGTGCTTCCGGAGCCCGCCGGAAGCCATGGAAGTGGGAGTGGGCCTCGGAGTGGGCCTCCAGAGGACCCCCCCCTAGGGCCCTTCAGCTCTTAGGCTCATGAAAAGGAGGGGTACGATGTTTGTCCTCCTCGTGAGCCTCGTGGTCCCCTGAGCCTCGGGTCCTCCTCAGTCCTCCTCCGACCCCCCCCCCCCCATTCATTCTATCCAGCCTGCTCGACGAACTGCGCGCGCGCCGCGTGCGACATGATGTCGGAGGACAGAGAGTTCACCGCGATGAACTGAGTAAGCTTCAGCATGGACGTGGAATCGGAAAGGAGCACCTTCAGCTTCTGCAGGTCCTTGACAACAGCCTCCGCGTCGTCGTCGTCGTCGGCGGAGCCGCCCTGGAGAAGAATTGGTGGAGCGTCCGAATCGAGGAGACCCAAGATAGACGACAGAATCATCTGAGCGGGCACGGCGGCCTCTTGCGCACTCTGCTGCTGATCTAACCCCCCGCCGCCCAGGCTGCTGAGGTTGGCGAGGCTGCAACCATATTGAACGAGCACGTGACCGTTGGCCTTGACGAAGTCGTCGCGGCGATCCTTGCGCAAAACAGACCACTTGCTGCACTGCGCGTTGTTGGACAGCGTGGCGGTCTTCGTGAACATGAATGCGATGCAGATGCGCAAGTTCTTGGTGAGGTTCGGCCCGTCAACCGCGTTCATCAGCACATGCGTCGGCACGTTGCACTTCACCGAAACAACATCAAACGCCCCCATGAGCGCCGACCACACATCGTCGCCCCACAGTTTATCTCGCTTCGTGGCCGTCATGGCATTGAAAGTCTCAGTCGTCAGCATTTCCAAGGTGGCAATTGGGTTCCCATCGGCCCCCCCCCTCCTGTTCTTGTTCTTGCCCTTGCCGCTCTTGGCCTTGCCCAGGCTGCCTTTGCCGCTGCCTTCCTTCTGGGCATTGGCGGCCTTGGCCTTGGCCCCCTTGGCCGCCCCCTTGACGGACTTGGCCATGGCCCTGGCCTTGGCCTTGGCGATCGTCTTCATCAGCTGCTGCGACTGCGACCCCAGGTGGCCCTCCTCGGACGCCTCCTCTGCCTCCTCCGCCTCCTCATCCGCATCCGCCGGGTCCGCGGGCCCCGCGGCATCCTCGGCGACATCCTCACAAGCCACCTGTTCAGCTAGTGCGAGCTCGATCTCGGGCCCCTGCTCCTCAGGCCCCTCCTCGGCGATTGGCGCGAGCGGGGCAATCTGATCCTGAGCCGCATGGAGCGGCGCGTGCTTAGCATGCTTCTGCTTCGACGAAGCCGAGGACTCGGCGTCGCTAGCGCCGTCGCTGACCTCGAGGGCGCGCTTTAACCATGCATAACTTCCCAGAAAACACTACACTAAAACTAAAACACTACACTACTACACTACACTAATACACTACACTAATACGCTACACTAAACTCCCATAAAACACTACACTAAAACACTACACTAATACGCTACACTATTACACTGCACTGTAGCACTACACTAATACACTACACTAAACACGACACTAAAAGACTACACTAAAACACTACACTCGTACACTACACTAATAGTGTCGTACTCATTACTAATTACTGTAGTGTCGTAGTATAGTGTATTAGTATAGTGTTTAGTGTAGTGTTTGAATATAGTGTTTTAACCTAGTGTTTTACTATGGTGTTTAGTATATTGTTTTAGTATATTTTTTAGTATAGTGTTTTATGTACGAATTATTTATGCATGGTTAACCTCTTTCTATGTATTGCTGACCTCGGTCTCATAGCCAATCGCCGAGCCAGCCTTCCTCTTGCCGCCGTCCTTTGCCTTAACTTTCGCCTTGGCTTTGTAGTTGACGGTGCCCCCCATGGGCGTCGCCATCAAGTTAATGTCCTTCTTGAGGGTCTCAATGTCCTGCTCCCCGTTATGCAGCCAAGGCATGAAGAAGCGCGACGGGTCAGTTTCCGTGTTGACCAGCGGGAGGGACGACTCGAGGCCAGCCATGAGCCACAGCTTCTGCCGCTCTGGGTCCCAATCAGAGAAGGGGCCCTGGAGCACACGATTCATGAACAGGTGGTTTGCAGCGCAAACGTAATCAATCTTGAGACCCCTGGCGAGAAAGTTGCAGTGGTTCTCGACTAAGTCCTGGTAAGAAGACCACCACCCTCTCTTCTTCATCTCGTGCAAGAACACCTTTGCGTGCGTGTAGATGTTAAAGTTGCCGTCGAACGCAGGGACCTCTTCTTCCTCGTCGAGCTTGAGGATGAACCGGCGGTAGATCTTCGCGTAGGTGTACTCTCCCTGGGTGGCGCAGGTGCGAGATTTGATTTTGAACTCTTTGCAGTGGTCCCCCCACTTCTCTTCCAAACTTGGGATCCTCTCGTACAGCTCCATGATGGTGAACGGACTGCCGAACAAGAACTTGTTGTGCTTGGCCTTCTTGTAACGGCACACGTCATCTGGCAACGCATTGAACATAGCAACCCTGTACCCGCGCCTGAGGATAACTTGCACGTTGCGGTTGTCCGGCTCTTCCTTGACAGCGGCGTAGAATGCCTCCGCAGTGGTCGCCCCGCCGAGCAGCTTTGTGCCTCCTGGCATCTCGAGATTCTCAACGCCGAATGGGAGACTCCGATTGTCTTCCTCCAGCCCGTCGGTGAGTATGAGCTTCTTGTAATGCTGGACGACCGCAAGCTGCCTCCTCTTGTTCTGCTCATGGCGAGACATGAGCTCCTCCCCCGCATCCGAGAACCACGGGCGCGCCTCGACGCGCCGATTGTAGCTGCGGTTGATCTCCTCGTCAAGCTCACCAGCTGACAACCCGGGGAAGCGCAGCTGGACAGTCGCCCGGTAGCCGAACAGCTGGTCGGAGATGGACGCCGGCGCAGCCGGCGGCGCAGACATGGCAGGCGACCCAGACGAGTCACGAAGTGTCGAGGGTGCTCGCAACTCTTGAACTCTTGACGCGCTTGAGCTAAGCAGTCGGCTGCGTCGCCGGACTACTCTGAGTGACTACTCCCCCCCACTCTCCTCCCCAACTCCCCCCCCCGCCCCAGTGGCGGGGCGGCGGGGCGAACGCGCCGCCCTCCTGCTCCTCCTACTTACTCCTCCTACCCACCCTCCCCCCCCCCTCCTCCCCCCCCTCATCCGGCCTCCTCCTCCTCCTCCTCCCTCCTTCCTTCCTCCTTCCTCCTTCCTCCTTCCTCCTCCTCCTCCCCCTCCTCCTCATGAAGGTCAGTGCGACGCCCGATTCGGTGAGAGACAAATAATTAGCGAAGTTGGAAGGGATGGGAGGGAAGGGCACGATGTCAGATGCAACGCGAGCGCACCTAGCTCGCCCGCCCCTCCCCCGCCCTCCCCCGGAGGAGGGGGGAGCTGAGGAGGGAAGAGGGGGGGGGGAGAGGAGGGGAGGGGCCCACAACGACTCGAGGACTCGACCCAAGAGGGCCCCGCCAACGAGGCCCCACCAAGACGCCCAAGAGCCGCCTAGACAGCCCAGCGGCCCAAGGTAGCCCCTCGATGGCGCAATATGGCATCAGGACAGCCCAAGCTCCAAGACGGCCCGCGTCGCTCAGACAACCTGCCAAGACGCGCAAAGCGAGCCGCCAAAGCCGCCTAGAGAGCTAGAGAGCCCAAGATATCCAAGATAATTAAAGATACCCCCAAGACGGCCCAAGTAGCCCCTCGATGGCGCAGATGGCCTCAGGACAGCCTAGGAGGCCTCCAAGACGGCCCAAGAGACCCCCCGAGACGCCCAGCGGACAGGTTTGAATGGCACCTCTGGTGGCGACAGCGATGGATCGATCGACCGCCTCGACTCTGGAAATGGCCGCGGGCTCGGGGCCCAGAATGCGCTGCGCCTACGACTCGGCAGTGCGCCGCCTCTTGGCGCGCAGGCACTGCCGCAGATCGCTCGACACGTCGCGCATCTGGCCCATGTCCACGTTGTTGTGGCTGTCGCGCGCGAAGACGAAGAACCACATGAGCGCGATGCCGATGCAATGCACGTCCATTGTGTTCCCTGCCTGGTGAATCACGGACCGGACATCCCTCTCCGGGAACTCGAAGTCGACCCGTTGGCGTTGGAAGCTGCAGACGAGCTCCTGGCGAGGGATCGCACGGGGGGAGGGGGGGGAGGGGATGGGGGGGGGAAGGGGAGGGGGTGGCTAGGGGCGGAGGGAAGGGGGGATGGAGGGAGGGAGGGAAAGGGCAAGGGAGTGCAGGGAGGGATGGCGGAAGGGAGCGAGGAGAGAGGGAGGGGAGGGGGTTGGCGGGGAGGCCGCCGCCGCCGCCGCCGCCGTCGTCGTCGTCGTCGTCGTCGTCCTCCTCCTCCTCCTCCTCCTCCTCCTCCTCCTCGCCCTCCTCCTCCCAGGAGGTGGATCGTTCGGGCCCCTCCGCATCCTCCTCCTCCTCCTCCTCCTCCTCCTCCTCCTCCTCCTCTACCTCCCCCCTCATTCTCCTCTAAAGAGGTGAGTTGTTCGGGCTCCTCCAGGGGATCGGAGGGGGGCCCTGGAAGCCCCGGGGCATCCGCCCACTTCCCCCACCCCAGGGAGCAGTCCGACTGAGCAGTCCTGGTCGTTGGTGGTCGGGAACCCGCAAAACGCAAGAAGCTCCATGGGGGTCAAGATGCGCCGCTCCTCCAGGATCCAATTACAATAGTTGGACGTAGTTAGGGCGCACATGCAACCTTCGTCCGTGCTGAACACTCTGCGGCGAGGTGTTTGCGTGAGAGAAACGACGCCTTCGCCAGATCGGATAATCTTCATTGCTGCCTGTAAGTATTCGTACTCACTCTCGACCAAATTCGCGAGAAATGGGTCTGACTCTTCAAGACTTGGATCCACTTTGCCATTTTTCACCCGAGTGTCCCGCCCCTTCATCCAGGCCAATACTTGTTGCAACTCCGACGTGGTTGCGATCAAGAACTGCTTGTATGACAACGCGCATGCGCGGGTGAAGAGCGACGCTGCGTCGGGCCAGATCCGCGCCGGCACGGAATAATAACCCTTGTGCAGCATCCACGTCAATCGGCGCCTGCGGTGCACTGGCTTCCCGAACTTGTGCGCTTCGACCACGCACGTCATGATAATGTAAATGTGTCCAAAAATCAACTGGAGCAGCTCCACTGGGAAGTCCGGCACGTTCTCGCGAAGAATGGCTGGTTCGCATAAGAGTAAGCGATGAGCGACCCACGCGATCAGCGCCGAAAGCCCTTCACCTGCGGGGGCCCGAGAGGAGAGGAAGGGGGCGAACTCCCGAGGAGGAGGAGAGGCTGAGCGGGCTCACACTGGGCCCCCAACATGATGGGCCCACGGTCGGACCCACGAACCCGGAAAGGGATGCAGACATGTGCAGAATGGTCACAGTTTCACGATGCCCAACTGGGCGACACCTCACGAAACATCCCACGAGCTGGCAAAGGCCGCCGTGACCGTTTGCAGATAACAAGAGGTGTGTCCATTGCCTCTTCCCCCATACCATATCCTCCATCGCTCTCTCTCTCTCTCTCTCTCTCTCTCTCTCTCTCTCTCTCTCTCTCTCTCTCTCTCTCTCTCTCTCCTCAAGTAATCGCTCACAGTGCCTCTTCAGCGCATCGACCATGGCACTGGCATCGCGCACCACCTCGACCTCCTCAAGGGCCCGCGCCCCCTGCGCCGCCACTTCGTGGCCATTTTCTTCCCGCCCCATGCTGCCCCATGCTGGGCTTCTGGCCCTGCCTCACGCCAGCCAGGATCAGCATCGCTGATCCTGGCTGGCGTGAGGCAGGGCCAGAAGCCCAGCATGGGGCAGCATGGGGCGGGAAGAAAATGGCCACGAAGTGGCGGCGCAGGGGGCGCGGGCCCTTGAGGAGGTCGAGGTGGTGCGCGATGCCAGTGCCATGGTCGATGCGCTGAAGAGGCACTGGGAGCGATTACTTGAGGGAGAGAGAGAGCGATGGAGGATATGGTATGGGGGAAGAGGCAATGGACATCCGAGGAGGAGACACCCCGCGAAACATCCCAGGCGACACCTCACGAAATATTCCACGAGACACCTCACGAAACATTCCACGAGACACCCCGTGAAACATTCCACGAGACACCCCACAAACAGGCAACCACTCAACCAGACACCCCACGAAACATTCCACGGGGGTGCGACTGGGTGCGGTCGTGCTGGGGTGTGGTCGTGCTGGGGTGTGGTCGTGCTGGGGAGTGGTCGTGCTGGGGTGTGGTCGTGCTGGGACGAAAAATTCCACGACACACCTCACGAAACATTCCACGAGACACCCCGCGAAACATTCCACGAGACACCCCACGAACAGGCAACCACTCAACCAGACACCCCACGAAAGATTCCACGGGGGTGCGACTGGGTGTGGTCGTGCTGGGGTGTGGTCGTGCTGGAGGGTGGTCGTGCTAGGGGGTGGTCGTGCTGGGGGGGTGGTCGTGCTGGGGCGTGGTCGTGCTGGGGCATGGTCGTGCTGGGGCGTGGTCTGGGGCGTGGTCGTGCTGGGGCGTGGTCGTGCTGGGGTGTGGTCGTGCTGTGGTGAGGTCGTGCTGGGGTGTGGTCGTGCTGGGGTGTGGTCTTGCTGGGTGGGGTCGTGCTGGGTTGGGGTAGTGCTGGGGTGTGGTCGTGCTGGGGCGTGGTCGTGCTGGGATGGGGTCGTGCTGGGGAACGCACCAGCTTTTCGAGCAGCGACCAGCCGCGGCGACCTCCTCCTCCTCCTCCTCCTCCTCCTCCTCCTCCTCCTCCTCCTCCTCCTCCTCCCCCTCCTCATCATTCGCCTCCCTCCTCAGTCCTCCGTCCTCCTCCCTCCTCCTGCCTTCGCATCCCTCCTCCTCCCACCTCCCTCCTCCTCCTCCTCCTCTGAGATGTGATTTCGCGGGAAGATTGCTGGTAGGTCAGTTACGCCACTGCCTGGCAGGGCGGGCCAGGGGTCGGGCGGGGCAGAAGTGCTCCCCAGAGGTAACGTCTCGTGCAGTTTTGGGGGCCCCCCCCCCCCCACCCCCGAGAAGACGGTGGAGAAGTTGAGGGGGATAGGGCAGACCATAAGGGAGGACCTCGGAGGAGGGAGGAGAAGACGAGGAGGGAGGACGGGAGGAGGAGGGGAGGCGGAAGAAGGGGCCTGGCAAAGGCGGCTCTCTGGCCCAGACCGCGACGCGCAAGGCGCGATCGTCTTCGCGCACCCTCGGGCGACCTGGCGGGGGGCAGTGGGTGAAGGGGTTTGGTCATTTTCATGCCTCATATCCTGCTAGGTGGCGACGTCTCCCATTCACGGAGAAATCGATGCATGGCGTCCCCGCTATGTGGATGGCTGACCTGACCAACGCGCAACCCCCAGTGCCACAGTCATGCAATATGCACCGCGCCACTTGCACTGCAACCGCCTTCGTAGCCAGCATCTCCATCAGCTGGTCGAACCCAAACCGCTTGCAATTCCGCGTGAGGATGCCTTTCACCTTCGGGTCGAACACGTGCTCGATATCAGCTACAAGGTGTCGAGGCGGGTGAGGGTGCATTTGCAATTCACGCTGGCACTCGACGTCGTTCTCGATTGCCCAGTCGTGCGTGAGGCCTGCGGCGCCAACAGCGTGCTGCAAGAACGTAAGTGCCGTGCCAGGCGCATCAATGCCTGAGAACGATGTCGAGTAGTGCAGGTTATTCAGGCCAGCCAGAATGAGCTCCGAACTTCTGTGATCCCAGCTCTCTAACATGTCGATGCCGTGCTTCACCCAGTTTAAGGCATCATCCAGCGTTGACACGACCGGGGCAGGTTGAATAGCGGGCATCGACCCAGTCGTCGATGCAACAGGACAGAAGCACGTGTATGCAGCCACCCAGGTACATGCACATCGATGTAAAGAAGGTGCATACATCACCTCCCCTCCCTCGCGCGCAGCTGCAGGGAGGAGAGGAGGAGA